CCGTCTCCAATATTTAGAAATTTGGAATAACTCAGTTTCAGTTTCAACGCATAATCATTGTCTTGAAAATTGTCTTTACTGAACTTTCATTGATATTAAACTTTTATATCCCAAAGTAAATTTTCAGAGTTTCAAGTGTCTTACTTTCTGTTCTTCTTACTGGTTTGCCAGTATTGGGAATACAGTTTATGAGTTTAGATTATGAGGTATTTCTCCCGCCTATTTCTCCTAGCGTGCCTTTGTGGTGTAGTGGTCTGCGTGCTGGCCGCGTATTACAGAGGTCCGGGGTTCGATTCCCGGCGAAGGCGTTGCTCATTTTTCAACTCTCCGGCTTCCAAAATACCTAATGTCTCTACAGTGGCGCCCGAACTAAAAACGTGTGGTTGATGATGATTCTCCACACCCAGGATTTAGAGATTGGGTCCCCTAAAAACCCCTGTTTAAAAGGGGGACTATATAAGCTATTTTCCCGCTTTCGTAGCATGCCTTCGTGGTGTGGTGGTCTGCCCGATGAGCGTGTATTCTAGAGGTCCGTGGTTCGATTCCCGGCGAAGGTGTTGCTCATTTTGCATTTCTCCTGCTTCTAAAAAATACTTAATGTCTCTACATGGTTTAGGTTTATCAGCTTAATGGAGTCTTTGTTCCTTTTTTTCAAGAATGTGTTTAGTTTGTTTGAAATATTTTAAACTAAAATTCAAGGCATTCAGATTATTATTTTGTTCTTGAAACTTTTATGTATGAATTGGGATACTGAGCAGTAAAGAACAAATTTTACCCAGTTATTTTTATTCGTTTCTAAAGTTATTATGATCAAAAGGTTGTTTCGTGTCAATTAGTAATCATGTTTCCTTTTGAGATTTTCAGGTTATTGTAAAAAAAAAAAAAAAAAAGTCATTAATTTCAATGTTTCCGAGAAATAATATTTTTAATCGTACGGTTGGAATACTTACATGGTTAAAAGACCATGTCCTAAAGTTTACCGGTTTTAAGTTACAAATTTTCTAAGAGTTACCGTTTTCTAGTATGACGGGTGCGTTGGATCAAGTTTTTCCTAAAGGCGTCTCAACATGTCCATGTAAAAAATGCAGCACTTTTTCGACTTGTTGTTCAAGATTGCCCAAATTTTCAGTACATAGTAAAAGCAATATTCGGTCCTTGATGCATTTACCCCAAAGGAACCTCACGTTTTTAAATATGGATGTCTTGATGGTAAAAATACCAGAGCCATATCATGTTAAACTTCTAATCTAATTGAATTTTGGGTAATATTTTTAAGAATGATTTTAGCTAGTTTGAAATATTTTAAATTAAAATTCAAAGCATTCAGATTTTTATTTTTATTTTGTTCTTGAATCTTTTATGTATGAAATGGGATACTGAGCGGTTAGGAACAAATTTTACCCCCTTTATCAGGGTTTCTTAAACTTTTTGGTGTGGGGACCCCCTAATATTTACGAAAATTTTGTGGGACCCCATAAGAATTGCGCAACACGCGTGAGTGAAAACTCTCAGTCCGTCATTATACTGTACTATACTATGCAGTTTATGTAATTGACTATCATTTAAAGTAAAATGCTATTTCTATTATAAAAAAATGTTTGAAACCTTTTCGTTTTTCGTTGTTGTATGTTAACTTTATCTTGTAAGTATTTCCCCACTTTCCTTTTAAGGGGTGTGGTGGTAGTTGAACGGTAGCCGATGAGTCGGTCTTAAGATGTCCGGGTTTCGATTCCTGGCGAAGGAATTGCGAATTTTCATTCTATGGCTTCCAAAAATCCAATATCTACACTGTCGCCGAACTAAAGGGTGTGGATGATGATTTCCCGCACCGGATTTGGCGACTAGGTCCCCTAAAACCCTAGTCGCCCTTTAAAAAGAGGAGTATATAAGGTATTTCTCCCACTGCCCTAGCGTGCCTTCGTGGTGTAACGGTAATTTGTATATAGAGAAATCTTTTATACAATTCCTAGAATAGAAGTTTTTGTCCATTTGCCCCTCAATTGAAAATTTTGTAAGTCCAGCTTTTATAATTATTTTCACAGCTGATTTCACATATTGCAGAAATATTTTATTTTCCTTAAAAGACCTTCGCTATAATAGAAACAATTTCTCAACTACAATTTCCTCATAAATGGTAAATGAAAGAGCTGCACCTGACCAAAATAGTTCGTATTTTGAAAGCCTGTTGAATTTATTCATTTTATAAACTGAAAAAGTTAGCCTACGGTCAATTATTTATAATATACCAATCATGCTATCTTTTGATGCTTAAGTTGCAATAATAAGTTGGCAAACACAGACACAAAATTAAAATAAACTATAGACTTCAATGCTAAATGCATTGTATGCATTGCTAAATGACTAGTGTCTAGGTAGGTAGTATCACCACCCAATGCTAATTTCATCAAGTAAGGCTGGTGAGCGGAATTTTGTAAGACTTTTCACTAAACAACGTGAGACATTTTCATTGTAAGTCTTTTAAGTCACATATGATTATCTAAAGCTGGAAATTCTTAAATATTTTTCTATAATCATTTGACAAACTATCTTGGAAACACAAAGACGAAAACCTTACATCTGAGAAGTAAATTCTTAAGACTTTTCAAAGCACATTGTTAGAGTTCTTTACATCATGTTATTCAAATATACAATAAGGCAGGAGATCCTATTGTGGCAGTTAAAAGACATGTAATATTAGTGAAATATGAAATATATTTAGACGTTTAGGTACGAGACACTTGAAAATCAGTAGTGCTGTAGCCGGTATTAATTGTTATAGTCTCGAATCACAGCTATTCCAATTGCTAACTGAAACTGTTAACTATTACTTAGATCATGACAACATGCAAAGGGAACACGATTATCCCTTATATTCTCCCCCACTTAAAGCTCAACTAGTGAGAGACACAAGATGCAGTCGACCAAATTTAAGCAGAGACAAGTTACATCTACCATATTTTAATTTAGGCGCTATTGGAGCGATTTTTTGTAGTATTTTTGGAAGGCTAGGAAACATAAAATCAACTATTTTCTAACCGTATTTGAACAAGGGATCCCGTAGTTACTACCTGGTCGTGATACCCCTTCTCATGATAAACGCACTCACTTGAAGAATGCGAATATTCTTTACAAGTTCTGTACTCAAATTCTTCCTATTTATACCCCGAAAACGCATCTACAAAGCATATTCTAAACTAAAATCTTTTCTCTTCTAATTTTATTACCTTTGACATTTAATTTTGTCAAACTTCTTATTTAACATACTATACAGTCACACAAAATATTCATCTATAGTTTAATTTTCTACATCTAATCTGATATAAAAAAAACATCTTCTTTCAATTGAAGGTCTCGCAGAAAAAATTTTTTTTGTACAGTTATTCAAAGCGCTTGCATCAACAATTTCATAAAATCATTATCATTAGATCTAGTTTTTTGTCACATGATGGAAAATTGCTGGATTGGAGAGATTGTCTTGATGACCATGGCTTTTGCTTTCAGGATTGTCTTTATATTATAGTTCTCCACACTTACATGAGAGATAAACCTGCTTTTGCCAGTCTTCTGCACAAGTATAATGTACATTATTTTGAGATGTATGCAAGACAGGGTAAAATCAGGCACTTCAGTGTGTGCTCGTAAATACTGAAAACATATTTGACATTAAATTCATAAGTACCATTGCCAAGACAAAAGGCCAAGAAGCTAGAAGACCAACACAAAAAAATATAGCGACAATTATGGACAGTATTCGGGAGAAAATATTGCTGTTTTACACTTTACAGCTGTTATAATTAATCTGTATCTTTATATTGGAAGTTAAATATCCCACTGCTGTGTGTACATTTAGATATTACATATTTTTAAAAAATCTTTAAATTTTCTTCATATTAGATTTAAGTCTTTTCATTACATTTCATTTGATATTAGACTGAAGAGGAATTAAAGAATTATGACGTTCAGTTTTTAATGCCAATTTAAAATTCGGAATCTAAAATGTGATTAAGAACAGATATAATTTTCAGAAATGTTTTTTACTGTAGTTTTGAGTACTTAATCTTACAATTCTGTTAAATAAAAAATTAAAGATATAATATTAAGTTCTAAATTATCGAAGTGGCTAAATAATTCTTTTTGCGAAGTATATTTACTTTCAAATACCGAAAAGAATGAAAGAAATAAGGCTTAATTTAACTTCAACGTAAGTTTTCTTTATGTTGAAGTCTGACAGTCACAATTTTTACAGCCAATAAATGATATAGTTTTCAGTAACTTTTGCGTAAGCGTAGGGAATATGCCAATGATGACCTTATCAAATGTATGTCAAAGTTACTCTTGATTTATACGACGTTTTTTTCAGCAATAATATTCTATGTTCATCTCATCCCCTGTGGTTATAATTTGCCAGTTTCGAATAATAAAGCTAAGAGAAGACCTTTAGACTAACCTGCGAATAACAATAAACATTACATCACGCATGATTTATAATACAGAAGAAGCTCTATAATTTTAAGCTTTCTTTCTTCTCATCTGTTTTACTTTCGATCATTAGAGCAATTCCCCCAGCGGCAACAATAACTGAAACAAGGTAACCAAAAAAAAAAACTGTCAATTCCTCCGTTGTTCGACACCTGCTGCAAAAGAATAACTTGATGTCATCATCTTGACCTATTAAACCCGGACGAAATAATGAAAAATTTTAACTGAATGAAAAGCTACAGTCCAGCCTCCGGCAAATGAGATATATTTCTTAACTGAATATGGCTGCCCAAGGTATCAGACGATCCCACGCCCTTGCCACAGAACCTGCCTCTGAAGAATATATCTCTTTTAAAAGCTAATGAAGAAGGGAAATAATAAAAACTAAAGAAAAGAAAGCAGACGATGGAAAGTGGGGTAGCCTCGACACCAGTTTCCGAGAACAGGGTTCCATCTGACCCACTGATTGCAGCCGGATGGACAGGCTTCTGCCCCCTTTCCTTTGTTTCCCCCTCTATTCGAAGATGGATATAAAAGGCGAAGAACTTTCATCTTCAATATTCCTCTACCGAAACAGTTTTCTGCTCGTTGTATCTGCTCTCCGAGTTCACGGTTTAACCAACTACCATAATGTTAGCCAAGGTAAGAAAAATTTTACAAAATGTTTAGTGCATGTACGATTTTGATGAACGGTTGTATAATTATGTTGTGCATCCCTTAGGTTTCTTGAAATACTATTCGCATTTCTCAGGTTTTGTGATACTGAACACTTCTGCTAAATCAACCTCTAAGTAAATAATAGTTAACAGAATTCCCAAAAGTAAATTTCTAAACAAAGATTTTTGTGTTTTGCATTATAAGCTGTATTCATGTTTCTTCTTACAATTTATTGGCCTTCGGAACATTAAAAAAAGCATAAAAAAGCTAAAATCACTAATTTTCAGAGCAATTTATTTTTTTAAGAAAAAAAATTAAAGTTCTGGTTTCTTTTAAAAATGACATCTTTTCCCCCAAATGCGCATGCGCACATTTCTAAGATTATCGAAGAGATGGAAAGTTTTATCTTCAAAGAAAAGATGTGCAACTAAGTAAAGTTTCGTATACAGTAACCAACGTAATCTTTTTGCAGGACTTTTTAATTCTTAAATAAAACCTTTTACATCTTTGAAAGCTACTTTACCACCATTTCTCTCATATATGATATATTTCATTGCTTGACAACCTCTTCCTTCCAAAAGTTAGCATTGTTATAGTTATTATTTGAAATTTGTTGTTTCTTATTGAAACTGCTAATTTTTTTATAGCTTGAGCAAAAAATTTCTTTAACAACTTGTTTTAAAGTAGGAGTACATTTCAAGCGTATAGTACATTTACAAGTATTCTGCATTTTACAAAGAGAATTTCTTTATTATTTTAACTTGGGAAAAGATAACTTTGAACGTAATTTCGTTTCTATACACAGACATTTATTCTTTATCCTATCAAAAGTCGTGAAATAGATTTGATATAAAAATAACACAAGTGATTAGCAGAAAGCTCACAGCGGTAAAATTAAGTTTTAGGAATTAGACTTAATTTAATAACATCTATTTATCTAGTTTTGATTTGTGCGCGTTGTTAATTAACCAGTATCACTGAAAAAAGCATAAAATTTCGTTTTCATATACATGGAAAGACATTTCCTTATTTTTACTTCAATTCAAAATTTCATGTCAATTTTTCCCTGCACGGATAACTTTAAAATGTTTTACTGTAATAAGATAATTAAATAATAATCACTATAATAAGATATAATAAGATAATTAATTATTAGCTTCTCATTTTTGCAGGGTTGATATTTGTTATTAAAATGTTATTTGTTATAAAATGCTCATGATGATGCTTCATTGCATACTAAGTAGAATAAATAAAATAGCATTTTGCAATATGTATAATCAAAGACAGAACACAAAATAACCAGGCCAGTTTAAGAATTACTTTCAGGTAGCGATTCGCATGGAGTCTGAATAGGAAACTTGAACTAGGGAATGACTAATTCAATTCATCAGCATAAATTTCGATAAGATTTAAATATTAACATCCCTTACTACTTCTTCATAACTTTAATGTGACGCTGTTTAGAAAATTAGTTTAAATAATATTTGTTGCGGAGTTTCTAGCAAATTCTGTTAATTATTCTTTGGGTCTCACTGATAATGATGAATTTGTTACAGAGGGAAAATGCTTTGTAAAATTTTAATTTAATTGTGGAACTTCAGCCCTATAATCCTAACGGACATGTGGCGAGTTATCGCTATGTCTGAAATAGTACAACAAAGTCTTAAAAAAAAAAAAATTACTTAAACTGTACTTCGAATATAAAGGCACGCCTTTATGCTACAAATAACCAAAACCTGAGGTGATTCAAATAAATGAAAACATTTAATTTAAAGCGTTGATCAGTAATCTAAGTCGGTACAATTAAATATCAAGCTTTAAACTGGCTCAATAAATTACCGGCGCGTCAAATGAAATTGTCGACTTCCAAAGAACGCAAAGTGTTACATTTAACAAGATCTGTCAGAATTTAACCCTGCAGCGCACATGTCAGAAACAGTTTCTCTCTTTCTCTCAAGATCCAAAAACTTCAGATTAAATACACAAATTAGCAAATTTGCATTCTAATTAGGAAATACGAAAAGAAGTAAAGATCCAAATCATAATAACTAGTTAGTTTAAAATACGAATCTTATATTTTGATTCTACTGTTGCAACATATATTTAAAAAACTCTTTGAGAGCCATTTCGGACTTTTTCTAGGGAGAAAATAAAAAATCGGCTATGCCTTTCCTGAGATCAGAAATACGAATTTTTGATCTTATATTATCCCTCATTTAAAAGTAATTGGACAGAGAACAATACAGATTTAGCCCAATCCGAATTGTAATTTTCCGTATTTCAATTCCAAAACCACTCTAAAGACATTAGGTCTTTATAGACAAGAAAAAACAAGAAGACAGGAAACGAGAAAAATCACTTATGTTCTAGGACTGGGAGAGATTGATACGCATCTTTCAGTGCTAGATGACCGTGCTGTCATTTATTCTACGAAAACACGGCATAATATGTTCACAACTAAACGCGAAGAGCATTAGTAACTTTGATTGCCCACAAATTTCTTTTAGCGGTTAGGAAAATGCTTTGGTATTTTATATGTTGGATATACAATATGTCTTCTGCTACTCTTTTTCATTTTTTAAAATTTTATTTTATTTTATTTCTAATTCTTTGTAATATTTGAGAAATATAGATAAATACTTTAACCTCATGGATTATTTTGCTTATAATACACACCTATTGTTTCTTTTAATTATTTTAATAATATTGTATATCTAGTGTAGTACGTATTTTGGTTATTAATCGTGTAATAATTAACGTTAAATAAGCTCGATCTAATACATGATGATTATGGGTGCAAACATTCTGTTATTCCTAATTGTGTTTTTCGAAAAGTTTTGATTCGTGTATTCTATAATTTGACATGAGATAATCCAAACCTTGACGAATAATTGAAATTTTAGCTTGATTTTATCAGTTTTAAGATTTAGAGGATTTCTGTAATTTATTTGATAGATTGTCTTTCATCTATCCAGAAAGATATGTAAGCGAATAAAATAATGTTGCTCACATTTTAAAAATTTGTACATAATTATTCTTTTCTAGACGGCAGACAGCATTCAGCATGCTTAGAATTTGTGTTATTATGTAGGATTCTCCACTGTGTAATTCTAAGTTACAGTTAAAAGTGAAGAATCTTTATAAACTAGTAAGCGAATAATCGCTTGAGTTCGTGAGACAATAAATAAACTTGGAAAGGTTTAAAAAACCCTTTATTATTCAAATAAGATTTAACAGAACTCCGTGTTGGAGTTGTACAATAAAGCCGAAACTTGAGCTTGAAATTAAGAGACTAAGAATCAAACTAAAGAGATATAGCCGAAGCTATCAAAATTCTAACAGAGTTGGTCCCTTAACGCTAATTGACTGCGAAGCTATGAAGGGCCTAAAGTACGGCCGAGCGTAATAATAGCTTACGAGAGAGTAGCCTAAAAAGGCGAAAGCGAGCAGCCAGAATATCCGGTATCTCTCTCTCTAAGACAGTAGAACTTTGCGGTTAAATACCACTCTTCCTCATTAGCATTCAGACGTGATCTTAAACCTACGTTATGGCCGGAAGTGGTAAGTTGAAATTAAGAAGCGATAGGAAAAGGAAGTTTAACTCAAAATTTAACTGTTAATAAAATTAGCACAATTCTTACAATTAGTTAAGAAATTAGATGCTATATATAATAAATGAAACCAGCCGCATAGAACCTTAAAATATCTTGAATAAATGAACCAAGTTTGCTTCGATACATTTTTCAGCAAAATTGTTTTGCGTTTGTAAAGAAAAAGAGCTTTTAAGATTTTTGAAACATTCGGCTTCTACCGCATTTAAATTTACTGAACTAACAACAGCAAAGAAATATTCAATTATATTCAATGAAAATTTCGTTTCTAAAACATTAATTTTTATTTGTTGCTTTTAAAAACTGTCAAGAATTGTACGCAGTTATGAGTTTTAATTTAAGTTAATGAAAAAGTAGCCAAATGATTAAGAATTATCGTTTGGCGAAATACTGAAGTTTTACATCTTTATTTTTATTACGATTGCTATTAATAGCAATTATTTTTAATGACAATATATTAGTTATATGAATCCGACATCATTCATATGTGCAAAAATATACAATGCTTTAATTTTTATTCTTTTGCTGAAATGTAGGACATGAGATCACACGTAATTCCCATGACTACTGCGCTAAATTTATTTAATGCATTCCAATGAGCTCACATTCGGCACATGGCTCATAATTCCTAGGACTACTGTGCTAAATTTATTTATTTCATTCCAATGAGAAAAACCATTAAATATATAAAAACTAAAGGTGTGATTTGGAGAAAAATTAGTACCGAGCGTAAGCTTATCAGTTAAGTGAAAATTGTTCCGCTGCAACAATTTTCCAATAAGGCCGTATAAAATCGAAAGCAATATTAGATTCGACATTTCTCTTTTATAAACAGCATCAAAATTAATACGAATAATTTCTTGTTTTTATCTATGTAATTATATTTTTCCGATAAGCCTTTTCTTATTTAATCTGATAAGGATATATTCAGTGCATTTGCTTTAATGGATGAAAGCCTTAAGCAGTATGCTCACTTAATATGAAAACGAATGTCAAATTTTTAATTTCGCGTATTTTGTTTTTTGCAGTTCGTTGTTTTCGCAGCACTCGCCGCAGTGTGCTTTGCCCAGTATGCACCATACGCAAAGCCAGATGAAATCAAGGTAAGTAAGAATACATTGCCAACCTTAAGCGTATGAAAATTTTATTTAGTAGTGATTAAGAAATCTTTAAGGAAACACGCTTAGAATAATAATTACAAGTTTACAGTTTAGCTTCAAAAATATTTAAAATTTCAGAATTGTAATTTTTTTGGCCAAGATATGAAAATGGATTCCACTTTACATATTCTTACTTCGAATACGGAAAGGAAGGAAGATGTTGTGCATCTGCAATGTTTTAACGCTGCAGCTTTGTTACTGGTTTCAATAAAGCTACCAAATGATAAAGATTAATTATAAAAACGTCTCAGTTCGCTTCTTTAAAATATAATCTTCGTATTTTCAGATTTTAGATATTCCTATTTTGTGGAGGCACTGGAATGTGTTATAACCTTGCCAGTTATTGGCCACTGGTTTTTGCATAGATATGTCCTGGCCATTAAAATTTCACTAATGGCTGTGTGGATAGGTGATGATGCTCTGGTTAATTTTCTTTGATCTCAATATAGAACGCAGCATGCTTTATGAGGGATATTTTGGTATCTTTTTTCGTGTGCAACTTAATTATAGTAGTTTCTAGAAAATTCAGCAAAGACAGAGTACATTTACCCAAATCACTTTCCCATTAAACGTTAATCCTAATGAACTATTTTGCCACTAATAAAAAAACTCGGAAGTACGCTGTGGTTAAAAATCAATTTTAATTTATGAAAAACACATTCTGATGATTAAAAGCAAATTTATTAGTCTTTAAGCTGTTTCATTTAGCCAATGAATAAATATACACTAAAATAAACATAAAGGAAAACTAAATAAATAAATTCTTAGGAAATGCATTAATTGCTTTAAACTAAATAAATAATATTCTAAGAAAATGCATTTATTGCTTTTAAATAGCTTAGTTTTTTAATCAAAAACAAGCAAAATTATTTGAAAGATAAATATCTTAATTTTGCTACAAAGCATTTACAGTAGATCATATTGAAAGTGAATCAATGCAAAATCGTGTTTCGAGACCAATAGCTTTTTAGGGATAACAAGAACTATTCAAATTTTCAATCTCTAATCATGACATGACAAACGGATACCAGATCAAGATGGAAAGAGTAATTATGATCCTGATATTTGCTAAATTACGAATACTGTTTTCGAAAAATAAATATGCATTTCTGGAGAAAGGGGAGATAACTTTAACCTTTTTCCTTTAATGTTTCATGCTCAAATAAATACGAGTCATTTTAAATTTTACATCAAAAAGAATTTTTCTACCATCTAGGAAAACCTTTCCAACGTACAAAGAAATAGAAAAATAACAGCATAGTTTTTTTTAAATGAGAAGGTTTCCAAGGAATATAGCATGCAACACTAAACTGTGAATTAAAGTGAATTTAATTTGATTAAATAATATTTTCTTTCTTTCTAGTATCCTCCTCAACCTTATCAATTCGGTTACGACAGCAATGATGAATACGGAACTTCATCTTTCCGTAAAGAAGCAGGAGATGCCAATGGCCGTGTCCAAGGTAGTTACGGTTACAAGGACGCCCAGGGCATTGAACGAGTTGTGGAATACGTCGCCGACGAGAATGGATACAGAGCACAGGTAAATGAATAGTTTTTGCTGTAGTGGTGAAAAGAGAAACAGGTTGTTAAATCTGTAACTCAAATAAACTTCTGAGTATTATTGACACCCAAACGTGGATGAAAATAAATCTCACTTCTAATTCTAACAGTAAATTATACGATATATATTATTTAATTTGTCAAAGAAAATAAAAGTTCAGGTTTGAAAAAAAAAAATGAATAAAATAATACTTCACTGTAGTTAAACTTAATTGTTACTCATTGAAAAATGATTAAAGCTGATATGTACAAAAGCCTCATTTAATAATAAAAATTACAAAGATCATCATTAAGTAATCACAAAATATTTATTTTTAGTCCAAAGGGATTTGAATCCCGAAGGACTATTACTTTCGTTTTGGCATTTTGCGTCGGACTCATAAATGTCGGTTCACTTTTCAAACTGTTGCCATAAAATGTTAGAGTCCTGCATTATATTTGAAGAAATTAAATAATGAAAATCTACGTAAATGTATGTATATTTCTCACATTGTCATAAAATAACGGTACATAGAGTCATCGAATTTTGAATAACGTAATCCTCCAACGAATATGAGCATGTGGAAGACCAAATTTGAAATTTGTTTTATGATCGATTTCCTATTTTTTAAAACTTTGACGAATTTTTGATTAACAAACTCAAGGATTTCAAAGCGAGCAATGGCAACGTTGTGCAGAAAAAACATTTTTATCTCCAGCGCGTGAGTCTCTGTATCGGAAATTCTAAAGATATGCTCGAAAATTGAATTAAAACTATTTTGCGATATTGCTGTTGAATTGGATCTTATGGTTTAAGTGCGAAGGAACATGATATTTAATAAATAAAGGTAACACACAAAAAATGTTAAAAAAACGCCCCTTTGGACGTAATTTAAAATCTGAAACATTTCAGATTTTTTTTTAAAATTTTATTTTTAATTTAAACCATTTGATCTAAAATTAAATTTATCAAAATTTAAAAATGAGGGGAAAATCTAGCCTATATTGAAGATTCAATATCGGCAATTATAATGAAGGCCGAAGATTGAATATCTTATCTAAGCTAACAATCTAGTAGCGTGGGCACGAAAGACAGAATATTCTCTGTTTTAATCCTAAAAACATCATCTTAAATACCCAAGGGATTGATGTGCATTCTGCCCGGAAAACGAAAGGAAGAAGTAAAGATTCAAAACATAAAGTAACTTTTTAATTGACATAAAGAAACTTTCAAAGTTTATAAAAAGGACTTTATTTTTACCGCGATAATTTATACAAAGATGTCTTGAAATTGGTAAATTTGTTCTCACATAATTTTTTGCCGGCCATGTTTTGCATGACAATATTTTACACTTGCTTAGTTTCGTTTCTTTTTTCTAATTTTACGATGTTTTGAAGGCGATTTTCTTTACTTTCGTTTTGTTTTATTTTTGTTTTGTTTGTTTATTATGGCGAAAAACGTTCCTGTGGAATAGAATACCCTGCAACATTTCCATGAATAAAAATTATTCGTGATCTTGGGAAGCTTTTTCAGATTTATCTAATAGTGTGTGATTTATGTTTCAGGTCAAAACCAATGAACCTGGAACTGAAAGCAAGAACCCAGCTGACATCGAATTATACGCCAATCCCATTGCTGTCAATTGGGTTCAACCCCAGAGGTATCAGGCACAGCCACAGCCACAAGCATACAAACCCCAGTATTAAGGACTAGGATTTTCTGAATTTCATTCTTCGTCTTCTATTTCCAGAATGGTAAGTGATGTATATTACAAAGAAATTTTCTGCAAATTTAACCTTGTAAATATTTGGCAATCAGATTGAACAAGGCCATAAATTAAAGCAAGCGGTAAATTTCAAAATATAGAAAAAGCTCTAATTGAGGAATAATTGCCGAATTACAGAAAGCAATGATTTTTATATTTATAAATAAACTTCTAAAAGTCTAATGTCGCAAAATTATATTAGACGCATATCATTAATAATTTAAATCAAATTAATTAAAATATAAGTTATTCAGAATGATTATTAAAAGATTTAATGTCTATTGTAATCGATTATGCAAAGTTCTAAATACATATCTTTTTTATTATTAAATTGTAATGAACCCGAACCGAACCCGAATGAAGAATTTCAGGTGCTTGTCCTTTTATCCAAACCGCATCAAACATTAAATGCGAAATAAATATTTCTTGTATAGGATATAGCAGAATGATATAAAATAGTCAACCTCTGATAATATGATCTGGTTTTCTCTTAAACATAATTATAAGCAACATATTAATATCAAAACTGTAGAACATGGCATGGGTTTTGGAGAAAACTGTATGCTGCAAAAAAGTGATGTCGTAGATAATTCACACAATTAGCCAACTTAATAAATTAAATAGAATAAAATAGCATTTCTAATGACGATAATTGCTTCCTATGTCACCAGCAGCAGAAAAGAAAAATATATTGAAATATTCCTGCATTTGCCTCGCTGGATTAATTTCTAAGATGTTGGCTAATTCTTTTCTACTACTTAGCTTCTTTTCTAATTTTGAGTTTAGCTTTGCAGTTTCCGGCAAATGTCTTTTCTATATTAAATTTTAGAATGAAAAAATAACTTTATTTTAAGTACTTATTTTTTGTAAAAGAATTGTTGAAGATTTAATGTTAAGTACAAGTTTCCTTTAAATGGTTCTTCCATAACTCTTTTTCATAAATATTATTAAATTAAACATTTTTACATTATACAAAACAGCTTCGAAACATTTTATAATTATTCAAAAGCGTGTTCAAATAAACAACGATTTTACAAATACAGAGGCTTGGTTCCTTAATAAAATTGTTTGAAAATTTGATTACTATTATTTTGAGAAAATAAGAGCGGTAAAACTTATTGCAATGGAAAATAATAGTATGTTTTTGAAAAGTTGTAAAATGGTAAAATAATTATTTGCAAAACTTTAGTGAATTAAAAAAATACCTCATCAACTCTTCACCTGTTTCATACAAAATTTTATTCTTAGCTTTTTTACTATTTTTTAATTTATTGTACATAAAATATGGCCAGAATCTCTTTAAATTTAAAATAAAATATAACAAATACTTTAGCTGAATTTCCATTGCAAAAAGTCTTACTAATTTGCAAAATTTTTCCAATCTGATATCTTTATTTTACATTTTATAAATGTTTGAACACTATTTCTTTCAGAACATTATGTTTGTCACAAAAGCATTCGGATCAAGAGATGTAACAAGAGACATCTTTCTCCAAATATGAATTCGGATGCTTCTTTGGGCGAACTCTCTTCAAAGCTGAATCTGTTGTGAGATTCCATGTTTTTTCCCAATGTCCCTTCTTTACACAGCTCTGTTTGCTGCTCTTTTGATATCTTTGTAAGATATGTTAGCTTGTATAATAAATTAGGTTCACAATAAAATCATTTTTATGAAAAAGAAAGTGAGCATTTTATGTAATATCGACAGAAAAGGAAATAATTATTTCCGTTTCTTTAACTTTTTCAGTAATCAGATATATCTGCCTTTTTAGCACTTTTCACAACTAGGCACATAAAGTGCTAGGCCCTTAAGAAACATTAAAAGAAGTAATTGGTATCGAACTCATAAAACACAGCTGTTTTAAGCTTATCCGATTGAGGAAAGATAATTATCACAGAGATAATGCCACAATTATCGAATTTCAATAGTTTCCTGATTTGAGATGAAATTTTGAAGAGCATATAGCGAACTATTCTTAAAACCATTTGTTTCTTCGTTAAGTTAAACATAATAAAATTTCAAACCTCTTACCTCGTGAATTATAAATTATTACGAAAGTGAAAAATAAAATTTAGGATACTTTGCTACACTGCGGTTATGGATAGATATTGTTACCTAAAATAATTAGGTAATTTTACAAGTCTAAAAGTTGTGTTCCTTTGTAGTTAGATTATTCTTGTTAGATAACATAATTTGTAAACTATTACCATAGAAATGTAAGTATATATGCCTATTATGAATGAACAGATGAACTTAGACCAACATTTCTGACAGCATAATGCAGCAATCTCCTTCCCGATTCTAGATTTCAATTTTAAGACGACCTATCACATTTCATAAAACCACTACTTACGATTTTAGACTTTTACCTTTTACCAGCTGTTCTTCTTAAACACGTGGCATTTAATATTAATATTTATTTAAATTTTCAGTAATTTTGTTCCCTTTCAGAGGTAACAGCTACAATAGAATTCATAGTAAAATAACAAAACATTACTGATGCTAATGGTTTTCTAAGATGACTACCTCCAAGAAAGAACCAAAATCCTTTAGATTCATGGATACCGTTATAGGTAGTTAGGTAGTTTTGATTATGTTTATTTTATTAAAGATCTTCTTCCTGAGATGGCCCTCTCCAAAAGTGGGTAGTATTTCTGAGCGCGTAAATTAAAAATTTTACTTAAAATTATTAATAGCAATGTTTTTTAATGCTACCACAACCAAAGAAAAACAAAATCTTTTGAAGCTGTTGAATGTTGCATTAGGGGAATTTCAGCGTATTTCATAAACGCTTTTCTCATCTGGAAAATTTAAATACACATATATAATTACTTTGATACATCCAAATTTTACGTTTCTTCCACCAACAGATAATTGTATTATTAAATCCAAGGAATACTAATAGTTTAATTAGGATTAGTTTCTTCAAAATTCATTTTTCACTCTGTTACATAGAAAAGACTGACTGAATGGGCAATCTGAAATTTACTAAAAATGGGATGTTAACAAAAGCCGTTATCTATAGAAAACTCATTATAGAAAAGAATTCTTTCTAAGCAGACGTCCCATACGAGCCTTTGCATAATTTATTGCAACTCAATCTTTCCTTTTATGTATCACCACCTGCATAAAGACTATAACCATTCTTCAGCTGTGACCGTAAGTCTGAACAGACTTTTTTGAATAAATTTCCCGCTTTTTTCAGTTAGCAGATTACTGACGTTTCCTTAATGTAACAGAAATGTACTGCCTGTAATAACTCACAGAGATTTCTAAAATTTAAATAAAAATGCCTATAAAGTAACGAAATGAGCTATGCATTTTATTAGAGCTACTAAACTATATTTGATTAAAACTAGTAAACTATACTAAAATATAAATCTTTTCTCGAATAGAATTATTCTTTGGTAATTCTAAGGTGCGTATTCCTCCATAAGTGAACTTTATTTAACTACATTCATATAGTTAAATAAGAAGAAAAATTGTAAGTAATATAAGTCACTTAAATATCTGGTCGTCTATGAAAAGTGAACAGCATGCATTCCAAAGGAACAACATGCACATATAGGGAGATAAAAACAGGATTCAAAAAGCAAAAACGTAAAAAGACAATAATACAATGAAATACAAAAAGATAAACGGATTGTCAATTTTTAATATTAAAGAGATCATCAGTACACATTTACAAAACTACTAACAAATCACAGAAGATTAAAATAAAACACTTAGAACTAATTTGTCACTTCATAGAAATATCCGCAAACATCTTCTTCAAATTGTCCATACACTTTAGTTTGCATTTTTTCTACTGTTTATAAATATGTAAGAACATTAGATATAGCGATGCAAGAGGCATAAAAAATGTGGAAACCCTTAAGGGGCTTCTAGTACCAGACCTCCCTATTGCTAGTCGGACGTGCTATCCAATTACACTACGAAAGCACGCGGAAAGAAGGGAATAATAACTAAGTACGCTCATCAATAATTTAAAATTTTTTTGAAACTATTATTTACACTTAAATAATTTAGTTGCCACTTAATTACATCGAAGTAAAGAATTTTTCTCAGTAATGGAGGGAAAAATAATACAAAAATTATTTTTTCTTTTCCTATCTTACTTTCTTACAAAGCAGGCAATTCCTGTTTAATGATTTTCTCTCTCATCATTCAACATTCATGCAGATTCTAATCTAATATCTCCACCCTCACTCCCCGCCAAGAAATCCAACCCCAATATTCAGATTTTCAGTGAATATTGAAATGTTAGCAATGATTAACGATAAATTTTATATCATATGTGAAACTTTACGTGCAACTAAAACTGCTTTCTCTGGCATTTAAAACAATGATTAACTGTCCATTGCATACCACATGTCCATTACTCATATCCATTAAATGTAGAACATCCGTGTCGTAATTCTTATGGATCCAAAACGCAGGTGACAGAATAAGGCCACCAGAAATAGAATAACTTGGACTTTCTAGAAAAGTTATATCTGCATATTTTATCAGAAGGAGCCCAACGTTGTTTAAACAAGTGTTGTTCTTGGTCTACCTATGGTAAATTAAAATGTTACGTTTGCTGGTTTCCGACTGTAACTATCTTACAGATTGCAAATAAAGTAAGCCTAAATTTTGATTGTTCATTTTATGTCTGCATCAGTGAATAGACATCAGATCAATGGCAAAAATAGACATCAGTGAATACGTTTTCTATGTCAAATTCGGAACAAAATTTCTTTTCAGGGTGTAAAAATACTTTTTACACTTTTAATACTTTTAATTTTTAAAAAAACTAATAATTTTTTTATCCATCCGTAACATATAGCAGGAAATAACAAGAGGCAAACGAGGTGCTCTAAAAGTATTGCATTATATTGTCTTTTATAATACTCTTTTGTCATGAATAATTTTTTTCAACAATTCCTTTTTTCACTTTTTTGTTCTGATTTCATTCTTTTCAAGATTTATATATACTGCATTTATTAATTATCCAAGCTTACCTAATATCAGATTCTAACTATTTTAATATTACAAATGACTTTAGCGGAGCGTTTGCAAAAATTTTGGAACGTTGCGATATATTACGTTACAAGTTCTTGTCTCTCTCTGCTTTGGCAAGTGTAACCACTGCAACAGCATTTCCTTTCCTAAACTGGTGATTGAAACCTACATATTGATGGTGACCAGTGTTCTTGATGGTTTCTTGTGACCATGCATTTCCGCAGTCATGAGGTGTTCTACACTTATGATTAGATTTATCCTTCTGATTCATTCAGTTTCAGTAATTTACCTAAATTAACTGCATTCCCCCTGTAAACTTATGGGTTGAGCGCCAGTAATCACAAAACACCAGTGACCAGTGCGTAAGTCATCATTCACCAAACAGCAAATTACCAATGGATTTGATGCCCCTTGTGTCCGTTTTAATTTCAATTTTTTAATTTTAATCAAATTTATTCCAGTGTTAACACTGATAAATTGTGCACTGAACTTCCGTCAGCGTCAGCTCGTAATTTATTGACCACTTCTCAAGACCAACAAGTTTGAGTAGCAGTAGTGCTCTTCGTTTATGTTTTAATTTTAAAATCTATCGAAATTTACTACATTTGTGCATAATGGTGATCCACTGTTTGCTGCTGTAGGCGGTGACTGTCAATGTCTCTATGTCACCATGCATTAACAATTAGAATAAGATCAACAACGGCTGATAACCTAACTAGGTAAAATTTTGCTTCTACATACTTTTTATTTCAAATTTTTATTCGAATTTACTGCACGCCTCATGCTCACTCACTGGTTGATTCTAAGTGATCTTCAAAGTGTAGGTCAAGCGTCGATGACCAATAGCCTTCATGAACATCGATGTGATTCAGCTAAATTTTATTTTAAATATCTTAGTTTACTATATTGTTGCAGAATGGCGACCTGTATACTTATTCTAATGACTCTGAACTAATAAGTCACCAGTGACTAACAATTTTGAATGCATTAATGTGCTCCAGTTTAATTTAAATAGCGATCTAAACTTACTTACCGTTCCACATCATTGATTTATGAATTGATGCCTAGTGACATTTAACGTATATAATCGGTAACATTGACGGCACTTAGGGACATCCTGTTCAACAACCTCCACAGGTAGCAGAGTGTTTCGACTTAATTTTATCTCAAATATGTATTTAAAATTTCTACACTGAATCGCAGGGACTTTCTCTCTTTAATATACAGTTCACTTCTGACTACAGCTTTGGAACAGATCTGTTGAGCTATAATTTTAACTTTTAATGTATCTAAATTTATTTTACTGCTTGTTATCTATGGCTCAAAACCCAATTTCAGGTTTCGTCAACCTGGTTATTGGTGTCCTTCGATTTAATTTGAATTTAAATACCTAAGTTTATTGCAACGTGCCAAAGTAGTGGCTGAAGTTCTTCGCTAGCACCGATCTGATTCAATTTATTTTTATTTGAAAAATATATCTAAATTTTTTTCATTGCCTCATTTCATTTTTTCATTCAGGAAAGATTGGTACTAAGTGACTATCAAGCTGCAGGTCACCGGTTAACAACTAACATCCTTTATTTTAACATCAGAATTATTCTTGACGGAGTTCTTTAATAACTGAAGATACATCAGAGGTGTTCTTGCTAAAGTTCTTTAATAACTGGATAGAC